TTTATAATACTGCTAGCGCTGCAAAAAATGTCCAAATCTGTTGAATATTAGAGCACACGCGAAACAATAAGCCCATTGATTGCATTCGAATGTAAAAAATGTCAATTAAATCTCATAACAGCTGTACAGCTACTTTGTACTGTATAATTTATTATAGGGAGCCGTTGGAAGATTTGTAACAATTACCTATTTTGGAACAGTCTTTCAAGAATGGAGTTTTGCAACGCCATTTGAAGTTTTGTGCTAATGTATCCGCTTTCCATTATTTTCCGTGATCTAACATTTGTCAAGAAAGCACTCTGTTTTTTCAAAACAAGAAGGTAAATATACAGCAATTCTTATTGGATTTCTTACCTTCAAACCACGCGCGTTGATGAACAGAGTGTGACACTGTTTCCAACTTCCTTACATTTAGGTATGTTTCTTTCGTTTATTGACAACATACAGCTTCACCATTGGCTCGTATTGATTCCCCGCTGAGCACAATGGAACTCACGAAGATATGAAGGAGGCGCTGACAAAACCCCATGCTTCTCGTTAAGGGGAGGCTCTTAGCAAAGTATTCGTAATTCCTGAATTTTACTGGGATGCGCACAAATTTTCAGTGGTTGTAAACCCGAGCTTAAAAAAGAAACGGGCATGACGTTTGCAAAGCCAGTGATTTCTTTCTATAAAGCTTTTGAACTATCTAGTCATACAACAATCATTCGCATAATTTTGTGATTTATGTAAAGCACTTTTAGAAATTTCGCGACAAAATGTAAAGGGATATAATGAAGAAGCTCTCCTACCTCTTGGCCTGTAACGTGAAGAAGTAGCACAGGTGAATGTACTGACACCTGAGTTCAAATAAACTGTAGAGTAACATTGTCTACATCATGTAAAATCATGGAAAAAATGAAAAACCTTTGTGGAACGATTCGTTGAAAAAAGTTATGATCCAATTCAAGAACAATTCGCAATGTGCGGTGTTCAAAGTTAACGATGTTTGATTTTTTCGCTCTTTCAAATCTGAAGTCGCTAAGCCTAATAAGAAAGTAAAGGCCGTTTCTCGGAAAAAATGTGTACTTTTCTACAGCTTGCAAAACGCTGCTTCGGAGCCCATCCCATCTGTTCATAGCGTACTAGTCTCAGCATTGCTTCGTCTTCATCACCAAATTATGTGGTGACTATATTATTTCAGTGCTTCTATCACATTGCCTGAAAATCCTACAATTCTATTACCAGCGAAATCAGCATTGCATGCCTTCCGAGACAATATAGATTAAATCCGGAAATTCTCTACCTCTCTTAGTAATACATTCCTTGTAGGTACGGTAGCAAATTGCCTTGCATTTGAAGTACACTATACACTACTTCTATAGCATGAAACATGCAATCATCCAATGTGTTGCATTATCCAAAATATATAGTTTTGTAAAAACCTTTTCAAAAAGTCGTTTTGCGAATGAGAATATATGTACACAATTACTGTATATATTTTAAATATCTGATTGTCTTGCGGTGCTTTGAGCCGTAAAGGACCAAAAAACGCAATGATTTAAATTCGATGAGAGGACGCTTGAGAGACGATAGCTTTGCCTGTTAGGCCCAAGACAGAGTTCACGCGGTTTGATCATCGCGATTCAATCGCTACAGACAAATGTTACGAGTTCATTGCATGCCGATTTTCTTGCATTTCGGTTGTTGTTGTTTTCCAACAACAACCAATGGTGACTAACTATCACAACCGAAATACAAGAAGATCGGCATGCAATGAACTCGTAACATTTGTCTGTAGCAATTGAATCGCGACGATCAAATCGGGGAACTCTGTTTTGCTTTAGCCGTGTGGCTCTAATAAGTTATGCATTCATTTTTTCAAATTACACAAGTTATGGCAGATAGGGATGAAGAGTATGAAACTTTTGCGTTTGTTAAAACTTCCGAAGTACGAATTCATTTCATAGAAAACCCTTCGGAAAGTCATGTGAGCATGCCTTCGATAGCCTAAAAATAGGGCATCAAAAGTGAAGATTTAAAATGTCTGCTCCCCAGAAAAAGTGAAGGTTGTACATAGAAAAACTGAGAAAGAGAAAATATGCAACACAGATAGCCAAAGCATTGACTTTTAGAAAGCGAATGAAAACGGCGCAGCGACTTCGGAATATTTTATGTGGCGGCATTTCGAATTGCAGGTATTCGCTCCAGCCTTAAACAACCCCAACAACCGACCAAGAAAAAGGCACTTTTTCGGGTTTTTACAAAAAATTCGCCATAATCGAAGAAGTAAGCTCTGTGACGTTGTCTACATTATAGACAAACGCAAGATCTATTAAATGCCGTTTGAAAAGAGTTGAACTGGAGGAAAAAACAAGGGATTTTCCAAAACACGATTTTTGTTAGATTCCTCGTTCAGTTGAAACATGGGGTTTTGCGACGTTATCAGCCTGAAAGTAGAGGTCAAGATCAATATGATATGCAGTTTGCTAGATTTGATTTAGAAATAACGAAGGGAAAGGTACCAGAGCCAAATGTCCCATGCTCCGTGTTTAGAGTAGCGAAGTAACGCGCAATGCGCGGAGCCGTTGGACCAAGCATTTGACTCTGGCGTGAATGTCTGCTGGGCCTCAACGAAACCTTGCAACATTATATATCATTGTGACCGCCATGACATGACTAGGAGCGCTGACAACGTCGCAAGTGTAAAAAAACACTACTTAACGAGATAAGCCAGCATTTTCGTGCGCTATCCTCTGCGCAAGATTTAAGCACAGTCTTTTTATGCAGCACTAACAACTCTCATAAACTTCTAAAGTCAATCGTAATCTAAAAGAGGCCAAACAAGACATGCTGTCCTGTCTGGAGACATTTTTCATAAAAGCTTCTTTTTTTTTGCTTTTTTTTGCTCAACGCTTTTTTCCTTTCTTTTCAGCGTAAGAAAGGCTATGAAAACACTTTCTTAGTTTTCCTGTGATATTCTCAAGATATAATTTCCTATACTTGCTTCACCCACATTCAATTCGAACTAGATATGATCATAACACTTGTAGCTCCGGCCAAGATGGCTTCTGTTTTTCCTTTCTGGTGAATGTTATGCTCTCCTAAGTCGCAGCTCAGCTGGTATGGAGCTGGAGCGATTCCAGCTATTTCGGAAAAGTTTCAGTCACAGCTTTCTTTCACATTAGCTTGTATAATCCTTTAAACCATAATTCAAGTCCTCAAGCGCATGTGTACACTAAATTTGGTGTCATATCATTGCATATTTGTTGTAAACAAGGCTTTTATACATTTGAAGCAAAATTTTGAATTACCGCGCTGTAGGTTCACGTATTGGTACATGTAATTTCCGCCCTGTCTTGACTTGTTAAAACTATCTGAGATATCTGAACGGCCAATTTCAAAAGTGGAATTTGGTTATGATATATGTTTTTGCGATTTGTTCCGGGGCTCTGCCTCAAACCGCTCAACAAATGGAAAAAGGCAATCACGCAACTGCCTTTCTTAGAATGTCACGATGAGGGAGATGCGGTAATCTAAAGCAAGGCGGTCAAGAGATATTTATTCTGCGTTACTCGAAAAACAGAAGAAAGCCGAAATGCAGATAAGTCGAGCCTTTGAAGTTGCGCACAAATTCTGCTCTTTGTTGAGCCAGTTAAATATTCGATGCGGGCGAAGCGGGCATACCAGCTAGTTATTTGATAAAGCAAGGCAAGATTTACAAGATGGCGTTCACTCAAAGAGTTCGATTCGTGTGCAACGCCCAAAAATCAGGTCTCCATTAACACATTCACGACAATACGACCCACCGGTGAGTCGTAAGATTCCTAAAGCTCTAGTTTGCCAGTTTACGATGGAACTCCACAGGATTCTGCCACATGATTGGGAACACCTAGGAGAAGCTCCAGCCAAAGTGGTCCAAGCTCGGGATACTGTATTGTCAAAGCGAAAAAGGCTTCGATCTGAGACGGCAGCAATCGAAAAATCGGCCCTATCGTGAATGTGTAAAAAACGGTCGCGAACCCTCGGTCAAGCATGTATCCAAACCAGGCCCATATTTTCCGATGACTAGCAAGCAAGAAAAAGAAATTTGGCATGTTCTTGCCAGAACAATCATGAGCTGTTTCCAAACAAGTATCTTCGTACTACTCATTTGCGTATGTTCACGTAAATTTTAAGTCTTCTTTTAGTCGTAAACAAACCAAAAAGCCGACTTTCACATTCTTTCGGCCTGTTTTTGTTTCCTTATTTCCAGAAAGCAAGTATAAGTAATTTTGTCAGATTTGGACAACTTGCGTACTGCGTTGGAGCTCCGCAAAAATTTTTTTGAACTCAATCCTGATTATGAGCTTTGAACTCTTTCGATTTCGCTTCCGAACTTTGACAAGTCTCGTCTTATCCCGAATAGGCATCTCGAATTGCTTACATTTGTCTTTTGTTTTCGCGCCAAAGCATTAGTTGTGTAAGTCCATGTTGCCCACACCATAGATCTCTTATATTCGCGCGTCTTAGACATCTCATGCTCCATCTCGTATTTCAGAGGACCAGTTCGCAGTCTTTGCAACACCGTCTGGAACTCTTGCTCGCTGTCTGGCGGTAATCCAATTCTCAATCAACTCAACAAGATGTCATCCACACAAAACACACCAAAAAGTACAAGAACCCAAACAGTAAGTGTGCTCTATCGCAAAAATTACCTTCTAATGGATGTGCCCAACTTTTTTCTTTGCAGGACCCCACCACGAAAGCGGGAAGTTTGTAAGAAAGTCTCCTGTTCACGATATGATTCTGTAAATATCTCTGGGCATTTATTGATGCTTCCAAGGCGATTGCTAACTTAGAAATTATCGAAGCTGGACCTAGTCGGATTGTCTGGTAAGGCTACCGTAATCTATCGTAATCCTCGCCAAGGATCAAAACTATTGTTATAGCTCTGGGGCTGACCTACACTGAAGAGAATGTGATCATCAGAAAAACGCCTTTGAAAGACCAAGAACAAACATCACGGGTCTACCATAAAAATGGGACGACTCCTTCCACATCCTAATGTAAGTCCCGGAACAGCAAAAAGTTTTTTTCGCTGATAATTTGCTCATTTACAGATTCTTTCTGTTCTTGATGCTTTTGAAGCCGGTGACAGTCTTTATACCGTAACCGACATGATATATGGACGATTAGTTGACATTTTCGATAAGAATCTTTATCATTTTGTCACAGCGAAAATTGTCTATCAGCTCTTATCGGCTTTAGAACCATTGCATTCAAAAGGATTCCATCATGGAGTAGGTGGTTTTTTCTTGAAAATTTTCTAAAAAATGCAATCCAGTGAGGGTTTCTTTCAGAACATCACATGGAACTCTGTTTTTATTAACACGGATGCGGTGCTGAAATTGTCTTCCTACGGTGATGTAGCTCAAAATGCTAGTGAGGAAAAGTTTAGAGGTGAGTGCTAGTTCTAATACCTCAAAACTATATTAGTGGTGATGATAATTGAGTAGATGAGGTAGGAAAAGCCATCTAAGCTTATTGGTGCGTCCAGACTTGCATGCGCCAGCGTTGCGCTAACGCCGTGTGCGATGATGGCACGTCGTTCCAGCGCCGTGCCAGCATTGCTCAATCGCTGTGCTAATGCCGCGCCAACTGTGCCGGTGAAGGTCGGTCAATCCTTAAGCGGTGTGTCCGCATGGGTTCACACCGCTAGTACGGCGCTGAAACGGCATTGGAACAGGGCTGACACGGCTTTGGAGCAGCACTGGCACGGTGCTGTCACAATGCTGCTACGCGCAACTCTGGAGCAGCCATAAATATGTATTTACCGTAACCTAAGATTTCTATTATGCATCGGCATTTTTTTTTCAAATTTTTTGCTCAATTGAGCTATCCTTTTTTTGTATTGGTCACGATTTTAGTAATATGGTTTTTTCTTTAGAAGACATCACCTCTGTCGGATCGATACTTGCACGTTTACTACTTGAAGAAGGGTCTTTCTTGAAGCTATCAAAAATCAAAAGTCATAATGAGCTGGAATGGCGAACGATCCTGCAGGGCAATGTCGAATCGGGTCTTGTTGATGAGTTGATTAGCTACCTCGCAAAGAATATACAATTTTTCAGTAAAATTCAAAATGAGTAACTCTTGATAATTTTTACAGATTGTCGCGGATTGGGCCCCCAGCTCCCAACGTCAGTGGTACAAATGCTCTTCTGCATCGGCGAGGGGAGCCGGGGGTCCGCACCGTGAGTAAGTGAACGCATCCCGTGAGGTGGCTACCTGTGTAATGCTCATTGGGGCCTGCCACAAGGGTACTCCCTACAGGCGTAGTGGCCCTTGCCACCAGCCTACTTGGCAGTTGTTGACACCTGCGGCTTGACCGTCCTCAAGACTACCGACGGTTGGGACGTGCAATTATAACCCTGGCACTCAGCTAGCATCATGCCAGCCCTCTCACTGATGTTTCTCACTGGGCATGGTTATAAAATATACACGACATAATGAGGTAATATTCCGGAGCCACAGTCGTGCTGTGGCCACCGCACCAATACACATATCACACCTGTAGAATGCCCACCATTTATCCGCATATAATCCCTAAACTCAAACATACAGGATGAGCACAACCGACCAATGTTAAGACCTAGGGGCCAGCAATATCGGAAACCCCCCGAGGCGGTGTCGCCGGCGTGTGCCAGGCGCGATCGCGCTCGGGGTTACCTCGCTGCGCGGGAGCCAGTCCTCCGTGGCGTTGATAGAATTGACGCGTGAGATGGGGTAGCGCTGATCGATCGATGGCAAGAGACGATTGGAACCCGACCGCTCACTGTGACGGCAGCTGCGAAGACTGACTACGTGACTTAAGCGAAAGCTACGAAAGTAAGAGAGGTGAGAGGCGGGGCAGCGCGAGGAGGCGTTTTGGGACCCTTCGCGAGGCGGCGGCGGCGACCTTTGAAGGAAGTCGCGAATCCGCGACACTCCGGGCAACGAAAAGAAAGGGTCCGAGGTAGCTCCCGATCTGCCATGTTACCTACGACCCTACGAGTCAAACATACATACAACCTACGAGTCAAGTATCCCTAGGTGGAACGCAGGACCTACTGCCTGTCGTGGTAACAGCCGGTTGTTCTCGGAGGTAAGCATGAAGAGTCGTCGGGGGCTCTACTCTGGATACTGGCGGGCTTCTTCGGCAGTTGTGGAGGCGATTGTTGCGTTGAACGGCAGTTGAGGTGACCATTGACGAGACCATTGACTCGACAGTTGCGGCATCGACAGCTTGAACGGACCATGGGAACTCGGCTTGACGTGGATGTTCGGCTTGACGTGACAGCGGCTCGACATTGGTGACGTTGAAGTGATGATGAGTTGGCAAAAGATGTTAAATTTGCCTACTGGCGCGGTTTTTCACACCTGGGGATGAATTCAAAGCGAGGGGGAGATTTTACCTCGCAGCACAAGACCCCTGGGGCGAGACACATGCGAAAGGGGGCATCCCAAAAACTCCAAAAATAGCACGGTCTCCCACCGTGGCCCCCAAAAACTCGGCAGTTGGGAATTCGGCACTTGGGATACACGTCAACTGCGGGCTAACCTAAAATAGGGTCAGCAACAAAAAACTGGGCGAGCTTAAGGCCCGCCAGAAACCACAAAATCAAAAAAAGGAAAAGAAATTAAAAGGGTGCGAATAAAATAGTTAAACTAAATTAAACATACCCAGAAATCGTCAGTTGGGGCTATCGGCAAGTGGGAAACACGCAAGTTGGGAACTTTTCCATCTTCCACCCAACGCTCGATAGTTGGGGCTATCGCAACAATGGACTCGAAACTTGGGGGATCCTTATCCTCAATCTAAAGAAATAACATTAATAAAGAAATGAAAGTTGGGGGGGGGGGGGTGAGCGTAAAGCTTCACCAAAAACTCGTAAGTTGGGGAAACGTAACCTGGGGCTAATGATCATGAGGCGAAGCATCTTTTCTCTGGGGCTGACGATCGTGGGGCGAGGCGTCTCTCCTCTGCTATCTCCTGGCTCTCTGTCGCCTGCGCATGTCAGCCATAGCCTTGTACTGTTCAAGGGTGGTGAGGTACTCGTCAAATGGGATATCGTTGGTACAGTGGTGCTGTTTAAAGCAGAATGAGATGTCGTGGCCTTTGGAACGGCACGACCGGCATCTCCGTCCATAGCGGGGGCAATCCTCTTCCGCGTGGATGCCACAGCACAAGAAACATCCGCCCCTCCTCGCATTCAGCTCCATCCTGTCACTCAAGAAGGTGTAGTTAGGACAGCTGGACGAGTAATGGCGCTGTCTGCAGAAGTAACAGCGGATTTTCTCGGGCGGTGTATCCGGCCTTTTCTGCTCCCGCTCTCTCTCCTCCATCGGCTCATCCACTTGACGTTCACCTAAAATGGGGTTTGGGGCCCCATCCTGGGAGGCGGGCGACACGTGGGGAGGCGATGTTGCAGCCGATGTGGAGCTCACTTCCGGTCCCCACGGGACCTCTTGGGGGCTCTAACAGAGCGTGACCGGTGTCTGTCCGTGGACGACGATGGCAACTCGGCTATACCAGTAAGGATGTCTTCCTGGATGTCGTCGTGCTGCCTCTGTCGTGTGCGAGAGCGTGAATGTGGGCGCTTCGATGGGGTGCTCTGACGAGCTGTGGCTATCGTAGACTGTGGGCGCGATTCTTGGGGATGCGCTTCGAACCTGCGCATGATAATAACATGGTATTGGTGACGGATTCTCTCCATCTCCGCAACCACTGTGGCGGACGTGAGGTTGATCTGGGTCAACCCGTCCGGTGTGACTTCATAGTGGGCTAACAGAGCAAGCCTTTGCTGCAATTCAGCCGGCTGGAGATGGAACAACTCTGTTAGGCGAGCATTGACCGCGTGACGACGATAGTTGATGTTATATGTGAGAGTGTAGATGCGGTCGATCCTCTCTAGGAGTCCTTGGGTGTCTGGCAACGACAGCTGGGATGTGGAAGTTATAAACTTTGTGGCTTCCGTGATGGCGTTGTCGAGTGCCTTCAACTCGCACGTGACCAGTAGGGGCATCAGGTGCTCGGTCTTAGCTCCGATGAAGTCCTCCTCCTGGGGCGAAAAGATCTCTTTCGTGAAGAGACTGCGGAAGCGTTGCCCGATCTTACTGTGGAGGTATCCATCGAGGGGCACATAATCCTGTTGTCCCAGATGGGCTGGGTCGAAAATGTGCCTAAAGTTGGAAGCTGTGGTGAGCTGCTGGAGCAGACTCAGTGCGGGTCGATATGACTGAGGGACAGCGTGAGCCTGGGTATCGCTGTCAGCTTCACGAAGCAGTCGACGATTGGGATTATACCCTTTGGCGATCGCGGTGATGAGTTCGATCATCGTCGGCTTGCGAGTGTGGGGGTCTTCTCCCGGCGGACTCAGATGGGATACGTCCACCTGAGGTGCGACCACTGGGGCGGGCGTTGGTTCCGGGGCTTTCGCGGACGAAAGCTCGCGGATGACCGCGGCCACAAGTGCGGCGCCGCTAGGATCGTCGGCGGTCTTCGTATCGCGATCCTTGGAGGGAGTGGGCTCTCTCCTGGGCGGCGTCCGCTCTCGCTCCGAGGAGCTCGTCCTCGAGTATGATCGAGGACGTCTGCGAAACTGGTAGGCACTGTCCTTTGGGGGGACAGGCACTCCTCGTTTCGACTTCTCTTTTATCGCCATAGTACGCTTGTAGCTGGTCGGGCTACGATCGCTATACCTGAAAAGAGAAGTTTGAGAATGGGGGTACAACGTACTGTGAGTGTATATACACATGGAGTGCAATATGGGTTGAGAAGAGATGAGAGAAGGAAAATGGGCAGAAAAAAATGGGAAAAAGAATGGGGAGAGAAACGTGAGGTCCCCATGATCCATGAGGCGTGATAATATGAAGTGTAAAACAAGTGAGGTCAATTGGTCAGGTCGCGCATGAATTCTAACATGTAGCATGCAAGTGTAACATGTCAAACATGTATAATGGGAGAATGATGTGAGAAGTGAGTGAAAGTGAGAACGAAAGAAAGTGTGAAAGAGAGTGTGTGAGAGAAAGGAATGTGTGAGTGAGAGAAAATGTGAGTGTGAGTGTGAAAAATGTGAGTTAGAATGAGAAATGTGAATGTGAATATGAGAGTGAGACAGAATGAGCTACGAGAGTAGATAAAATGGAAACGCGCGCACAAAACAAGAATTCCTTGCCTGACCAGTGTGCAAAACTTAAATGTGAGTAAGGAAAATGTGAGAAAGGATATGTGAGAGAGAATGTGAGAAAGAATGTGAGGTAGGAGAGTTGCAAAAGACAAGCCACTGCCTTTTTGGCACAATGTGAGGAAGAAAATCAAACAAAACAAACGATAATTGAGGAGTGTGGCTTGTTGGGAGATGAGAATGAAGGGAAAAGACAAAAATCAAGACAACATACAAGAAATCATAAAGAAAGATGTTAAAAGTCACAACTAACGTGCGGCGGTATGATGCAATTTCGTATATGCTGACTGTAGCTTTCCCTGCGGGACCATTCAATTGGCGTAATTGTGCGGAGCGCGTTTGCGAGCGCATTTTGCGATTGGGGCTAGTATACTTGGGAATGTGATGATAGGGCACGCTACGCACACGCAGCGCGTGTGGATTAGAGCGCGTTTATACTCAGTGGGTCGAAATTTGCGATTTTAAGCGTTTAGCTTTGCGGGGAGGCTGAATTCTCGTGGGAGAATGGGAAGAATGTCTAGAGGACGTTCTTCTGGGTCTAGATTTTGGGGTGTAGTCGTCTTGGGCGCGAATCTCAAGGGGTAAAGACGTGATAACGGTCTCTGAAGAGACTTACCGTTAGACGTCCGTACCTCTGCGACTCGTACGTTGTTACAATCATTCCCAAGAAGTCGAACTACAATCCCCAACTTCCATTGTCCTCTCGGCAAATTGTCTTCGGCAATTAGCACGAGGTCGTTAACCTGGGGATGTACAGCTGTGTGCCTGGGCTGTCGCAAACGACGTTGATGGCGCTGAACAAGTGCAGAAAGGTAGTCGGTGCGCCATATCTCCCAAAAGGAGTTTAGAACGGATTGCGCTTCCTTATACCAATCGGACAGCTTGTGTTCCTCGACAACAACATCGTATGTCTGGGGTTTTGGG